GCTAAAATAAGTTACAGCACACAAAGGAATACTGTCCAGCAGGAAAAAAAATAATCTTAGACTGTTATGAAACAGTCTRTAGGTATATCATTAATGTGAAACTCAAAGCAGAAAATGTTGTGTGAAGAAGGCTACCATGGTAATCTACATCTCCAGCTYACCCTGGCTTCCAGACACCATTTGTCTAATAGCAAACTTCCTGGTTAATTTTCTGGGAGCATTCCTCTTCTTGTGTCCATTATTTGCTTTTCAATGACTTCTAATTGCTTCAAACATATAGTACACTACAAATTTTGTAGCCTGACATTCAGGGCCCTTTGCTTTGAAGACAAAACTTATTTTTCCCTCATTATTCAAATGGGAGCTAATGTGGGAAAGATATTGCCAAAAATTGTTGCCCACTGACCTCAGATACACCAAACATTCCTATTTCACTAAGGAGTTTTGACATAAATTGAGTGCTAAAATTTGCCAAATGACTTTTACATCTCTCGAAAACATCATGTATTTGTTTCCTAAGACTGTTGTAAGGAAACCATGAATTGGATGACTTAAAGCAAAAAAAAAAAAAAAAAAAATTATTGTCTCACGGTTCTGGAACCTAGAAGGAGGCTGGGTATGATTCCTCTGCCCCGTTCAGAAGAAGCATGGCACTGGCTTCCAAGGTTTGCTGGCAATTCTTGGCACTGTCTCCCTGAAATCTTTGCCTCCATTTCACAGCACTTCCCRGTGCATCTGTCTTCATCTGGCCCCATAAGATACGAGTCATAATAGATTAGGAGGTTCGCCCTAATCCCTGTGACCTCATCTTAACTAATCACCTCTGCAACAACCCTATTTCCAAACAAGGCGTCATTCCAAGATATTGGTTTTAGGATTTCAACACATCTTTCTTGGGGAACACAATTAAATCCATAACACAGCATATGATGGTCTCCTTAGCTCGGCTAGTCTGATTGACAATGTTGGTGGATTTTATAATAGGTAACCCTCTTGTATTACTAGAATGAATCTCACTTAGTCATGAAGTATTGTTTGGTAAAGGAGCTGCTGGGTTCTGACTGCTGATGTTTTAAGATTTTTGAACCATATTCACACGCAGGAATATTCTGTTTTCCTTTTGGAATTATTTCAATTTTGACATCAATGGCTTCATAAGTGAAAATTTGAATTTTTTTTTATAATCTGGAATAGGTTAAGTAGCATTGAGATCATCCATACTTTATGGGTTAGGTAGAATGTTCCTGAGAAACCATTTAAGCCAGGTGCTTTTTAGAGAGGAGTGTTTTAACCCACTTTCTAGCTCTTCTATGATAATTATTCTGGTTAGACTTTCTTCACTGAGGTTCATTTTAGTAAGCTGTCTTTTCCTTTTTTAAAAAAGGTTATGTCAAGTAACTCCATGGTTAAAAAATTTCCTCTGGGCTGGGGATGTGGCTCAAGTGGTAGCGCGCTCGCCTGGCATGCATGCGGCCCGGGTTTGATCCTCAGCACCACATACAAACAAAGATGTTTTGTCCGCCAAAAACTAAAAAATAAATATTAAAATTCTCTCTCTCTCTCTCTAAAAAAAAATTCCTCTGCTATTAATGATTATTTTCCCCATAGTATTTTTGGTTTGGGGCAATTCAGTTTTTTCCTTTTATTCTTCCTTCTCTTGATTAACTAAGATTTGTCTATTTTGTTGATTTTTTGTTCACAGAACCATTTTTTTGATTTATTGTTTTTCTTTATAACTCAATAGCTTATGCTTTTATTTATTTTAAAGTATCTGTAATTTAGGCAGATTTGTAAGGTGATTTTGATCCCAGATTTCTGAATTACAACTGTGGAACGTGTGGATTTTTATGGAAAATTTGTCATGTGGTGCACTATATTTTCCATTACACCATTGTATTTATATTATTATTATATTATACCTATTTGTTTGGTATGTGAACATCTTATTTCTGCAACAGATGGTAGCTCTCTGAGGGCAAGTTCATGTATCATATTTCTTTGGGACAATAACTACTGATATTGTGGCTAAGTCAGAGAACTGATGTAAATGTATAATAGGTAGTTTCTGAAATGGCTCCCAACAGTCCCTCCCACCTAAGATTTATGCTCTTGTCTCATCCCCTTTGCCTTTGATTGTGGGCCGGACCTGGAGATTTGCATCTAAGAAGTAGAAAATGACAAAAGTATTAGGATATTGCCTCCAAGGGTTTGTTATAAAAATCTGCTATTCTGTCTTGTTTAGATTCCTTCTGTATCTCCAGATTTTCTTGTTTGCTTGCTTCAATAGTAGAAAGGGTCATTTAATGAGCTGTTCTGTGGTGGCACCCTCGTAGCAAAGCAGGGAGGGCAACTTCTGACCAATAACCCATAAGGAACTGAAATATAACAATACACATGAGTGATCTTCACGGCTAATCCATCTCCAGTTGAGCCTTGAGGTGACTGCAGCTTCAGACAACACCTTGATTGATATCTTGTGAGAAACCCAGAGTCATAGGACCCAGCTAAAATGCACCTGGATTCCTGACCTACAGAAACTGCAAGATAATATTTCTACTTTAAACCACTATTTGTGTAGTTCTTTGTTATGCAGCAGTAGATAACTATTACACAGCCCAGATCCTGTGTATCTGCCTCACTAATGGTAATTYGGAAGGAACCTGTCTTGTTGAAAGACAACTCTAACTCAGAATTTAAAATGCAATAATTAATTAATTCCAAAAATGTTCACTTTGAGTGAATGCATTTTAACATCATTGTCTGTCAGCTCTCTCATTTTAATATCTTAATGGCGGGGCTGGGGCTATAGCCCAGTGATAGAGCGCTTGTCTAGCACATACATGTGAGGCACTCGGTTTGATCCTCAGCACCACATAAAAATAAATAAATAAAGGTATTATGCCTATCTACAATGAAAAAAAATTTTTAAAATATATTAAAGGTATGCCTGTTGTTCCTTGAAATAGGTTATTTTTAGTGCTTCCWTTACTGCACATGAGTAGAATGTGCCACATTAGAGACAGACTGCATAGATAAAATTAGGCAGATCAAAAGTGAATTTATAATTTGGACTTACATTTTTACAACATTTAACCAACAATGATTTATTTTCATACCATGATGAAGACTGTTGGTAGTTAAAAAATGGAACAGTTCTTCCCTTCTTCCACAGTTATATAGATTAAGCTGAAAAGGGGCTGCCTTGCTAGAGGTGACATTTCTAAGCCTTTTTGAGACCAGGAGACTACCTTCTCACTGATAGGCTGTCCGTAGAAGTGATATGTAAACTTCTGCTTCATGCTTAATATAAAATTGYTGTTCAGTACATTCACTCTTTTCTCCTTTTCAAAAGATACTTCATGAGTYACTGGAAGCTGAAGTCAGAGATAAAATGCTCTGTCTGAAAATGCAATTTGTTGGTATACTTATGCTGAATGTGCCATGTTTTGCTTTTTTTTTTTTTTAATGAAACACTGAAGCACTAAATTTGGGAGATACATTGATGCAGGAATCTTCATGGGAGAACAAATTTCTTTAACACATGAACAAAACAGGTTCTGAACAACTACAACTCCAGCTTTTAAAACTAAACTAAGGGGTTTGGTCCTAGTGCCTATAAATGATAGCAAACAGCACAGGGGAGAGAGGTCACTGCTGSCTGAGTCAGACATGTCTAGGTGTGACACAGCTGGGTGTGACAGTAGCCTGGTGCTTTTGTAAGAGGAAAATGGTATCTCCCCAGAGTTCCATTGTCCTCTTAGCCACCTTGACTTTGCTTTCCAGATAAGACTGAGAAGCAAGGAAAGCGGAAACTAGGGCATGAGGAAGACTAAATTATCTTTGGAAGTTACAACCCAGAGGTTTCCAGGCCTAAAAGTGGTTAAGCAAGGTGGCTCAGGTCATTTGTGCTACCAAATACTTAGTAGGCTTTACATGGGCAGTCAGCAAATAGGTAGCCTTCTGCTGTAACCTGAAGACAAGTAAATTGTGCTTTTGTTGCAGGATGATCACCTGGACCCTCATCTCCATGTGAGGAGGTGCAGCGGCTGGGATCTCCGACCCTAGAAGGAGATTTAGGAGGGGTGAGGGAAAACCACTCCAAACTGCAGGACGACCCTAGAGGGAGATTTAGGAGGGGTGAGGGAAAACCACTCCAAACTGCAGGACGGTTCCTCTTCCGCTCTCCAGCTGAGAGCCCTAACGCAGGCGCGGGTACAGTGAGATGCCCAACTATCCTCGCAGCCCTCAGCAACTGATTTTATGGGTCTGAAGTCCCTCACGGTCTGGTTGCTTCTTCCCAGCGTCGTTTCTTAAGCAGAGGCATAGCAGAAGGGATAAGGGAGCTAGTAGGACTCTTTRTGCTCAACGCAGAAAATCAAGAGGGAAGCAGGTTTCCTCCCCACCCACCTTAAAGTGTTCCCCGGTTGCCACATCACATCTTCACGCTGTGGATGACTCAGGGCCCASTTTGTGTTCCCTCGATTCTTGAGCAAGGTCGAGGGTGTCCGGGCTTCGGAGGAAAMGTTGCATGAAGCAGAGTTTGGAAAGAACCTGGGAATTTTCCCCGGGGGCCCTCGCTGTACTTGCTGAGTCTTGCAGGGTGCGGACAAAAGTTCGAGTGGGGAGCTGGCGCGCCAGGAAATTGAATTTACCTTGAGCTTGGGAGTCAAAAGGAAGGTCACTACGGGATCAGCTGTCTTTTAATGTCAGGTCTGGGCTAGCCAGGAGGGAGTGGATACAAGTCGCCCTCAAATAAAAGCGAGAGTTCAGGCACCTGTGCTTCTCTGCCCRGTCGCTAGCTAGCCCTGGAGAAGGAAAGCTAGACTGTGCTGTCGCCCTTACAGCTGGGGCGTGTCTTGCGCAAGGTGAAGGCGGACACCTGGGCTCAGGCGCGCCCAGGGCGGGCGCTAGGACCCGGGCGGCGCACCTGTTGGGTGGCGGGGGCCCCGCCCGCCCTGCGCCGGGGTCGGGGTGTGAGCGACSGGAGCGCGGAAGGAGGTGACGGCCCGGCGAGGCTGCGGCGGCTGCCGGGCGACGAGGGCGGCCCGGTGCACGATGGCAGAGCTGCTGTGGAGCCTGCAGGATTCCCAGATAGTCGCCCGCTTCCAGCGCCGCTGCGGGCTCTTTCCGGCGCTGGATGAGGGCCCCCAGGAGAACGGCGCGGGTCCCCCGGAGGATGCGACGCGCCGCTCCGAGGTCGGGCACCGCCGGGCGGCCAGCGTCAAGGGCGGCGCGGAGCCGCCCAATGGGCTGCGGAGAGCGGCGGCGCCGCAGGTAACCGCGGGCAGGTGCTCGCCCGGGAGGGAGGAGGGGGCAGCCGCTCCGCAGCCTGCGGACGTGCAGGTCCAGGCGACTCGGCGACGTGGGGACAGGCGTGCCCCAAACCAGCCCGGTGGAGAGAGCGCSGTCCCCGGAGGCTCCTGGGGTCCGGCGGTCGTGTGTGGAGGGGGTGGCCTTGGGGGTCCTGCCACCGGGATGCCATCCTCTAACCCTGCCAGGTGGCCACCAAGTCTTTTCAGACTTAAATCGCTCAGAGCCTTTAAARGCGGTCTCCTTAGAGGCTTTCCGTTTTAACGAATACATTCACGTTCGTGTACGTTCTACCAAATCTGTCGGAGTTACGTAACTGAAGGAGTGGGGATGTCCTTGGCACTTCCCCGGGAGAATTCCCGGGAACTCTGAGTTGCCGCCCATCCCCCTCCCCTGTCCGCGCAAATGCGGGTGTTGTGGGSCTCAGTTGTCTGATGGTGCGCTCTGCCGACTCTCGGGACAGAGCTCGGGTTTCCATACTGCTCCTAAAGAGATTTACGACCCCTGACAACACCTCCCTCTCGCCCCCTTCTGCCTGGTGGGTCTTTTATTAACCGGCACCGATGGCTTTTCACAGATGCTTTGGGGAGAGACGCTCACCGCGCTCTCCTCTAGGCGTCCTGAGTGTGGTTATACAACCACTGCAGCTTTGGGGRAACCAGCCTGTGTCGTCGTCGCAGTGCACAGAGACTCCAGGCAGAGGGACAGACAGGCTGCAGACAGCTGCAGGGGGTGGGTGCCTGTCTACCCTGGCACCTGCAGAAGGCTGGCGGGGTGTGGGGGGGTGCTGTCTACTCTGGTACCTGCAGACACTGACCTTTTGCCAGGCAAAATAACAAGTGTGGCAAGTGAGGACAGTAATTCCTTTTTCTTTTTAAAAAGCCACATTTTCTTTTCTTCCTAGAAGTTTCTGGTGACAAGAAAGCAGCSTGTCTTCATGTATAGATGTCTAGATTTAGTAAGTGAGGAATTATGAAGAACCTTGATATGAACCTGAATATGAATAGGCTTTGAATTATAGAATTCATCTGGGAGGGTGGAGGTGGATTGTGTGTTCCATTACAGAAAAATCCACCTCTATAATATTTTATCTCCTTTTATAGTCCTTTCTTTGTCCTATGTGAAGTTCCAGGAACTTTTAGTTGAGTTTGCTGACCCCTCCCTTTCCTCTTGTGGTGTCTTAAAGGGGGAGGAGCCAGAAGAAGTGTTTTTCATTGACATTTTCTGTGCACACACAACATTCACACTCACACCCACRGGTGGATGTGTAGGCTGCTTTCTATTGCTCTCTTCTCACACTTCTACCCTCTTTCTTGAATTCAGGAAGCTGAAAAGAGTGCATTTTTTCACTAGTGTTTTTCAAACTGTTTTCCACATTACCCTTGGTAAGGTAACCTGAAATTCTGTCTTCCCCTTTAAAAGCAAGCCAGGTGGACTTCTTGCCTCTTTGCTGCTAGTGCCTTAGGTGGCTGGTAAGCCCAGGGGTAGGCCTGCCCTTCCYGGCCAACACAGCACCTCACTCACACAGCAGATTGTGAAGAAGCAAGACAGAACCCAAAATCAAGATAAGAAATCCCTGTACTTGGTGATAGTGGTGGTGGGGGGAATTAACTCAAGAGCGTTTGATAAGGGAGAGGTTAATAAATGTTCTTAAAGGTGGATCAGTTTCAAGTGACTTGAGAAGATTAGTACTTTACTAGGGACACACAGGAAGTTCCCAAAAGGAAATGATTACGTGCCTGTCCCTGGATACATAATAGGATTTTTAAAAGGGCAGTTGAGAAGACTCTTTCCTATCAACCATGACTCCCCCTCTGCCTTGGGCCTTTGCCCACTTGCCTCAGTTGCAGGTGCCTTCTCCAGATACCCTCCACCCACCCTTGAGCATCAAGGTCAGTTCCTCCAGAGGTACCTTCACTGACCTTGCAGGCTAGCTCCCCCTTAATGGACTCTCTTTGCCGCTTGTATATTTTTTCCCTGCAGCATAATCACATTGTGTAAATGTGCCTTTGTGTGGATATCTGATTATTCCAGTCTCCTCCTGTAGAGGATAAGCTCTAAGAATGCAGGAAATTTTTCTGTCCTCATTGTTTTCCTCCCCTGGTTATTCACAGTGAATTTTATAAATATTTGAATACAGATTACAATAAGAAATCAATAGATTTTTAAAAATTAAATAATGATTACTGAAAAATCAAATGAAAAAAAAACAAAAACAAAAACAAATGGTTGTCCCAGAATCTAGAAGGCAACCCAAAGACATCCATTTAATACCCTGCAAACAAAAGTAAACTTTCCTYCACTTCAATAATTTTAGACCTCCATGAATCTAATTTACCTTCCACATTTTCTGTTTTTATTTAAGTCCTTAACACTGCACAAATATGGRATGATTAAAGACTTCCTCTATAAATTCTTGTAACACCACACACTGCTAGTTTAAAAATTAACTATGTCTCTACAAACTAGGGCTGGGCTGGGCTGGGCTCACACAGACCTGTTGTTGAATATTGAACTGGGATTTAGGGATTGCCCCAGTAAATATGAGTTCTGAAAGATTAGGTGACTTGGGACTTCCCAGTTTTCTGCACAGCCAGGGAAAGCCAGATCTTTTGAATTCCAAGTCTGAGCTTCTTCCTACTGTGCAGCTTCTAACACAGCACCTCACTGTGACTGATGTACTGTGGAGGTATGAGCTGTGAGTCCTGGCTGGGGCARGGTAGAGATCAGGTAGAATGAGAAGGTATTGTTTGCAGTTTGCAAAGGTAGCCAATTCGCAAGATTAACCATCTGAGGGCATTCTTGGCAGTCACCTTGAGAAGCAGTGTCCTGAGTAAGAGACACAGAACCTAGAACTTGCTGGGGAGGGCAAAGACCCTTAAGAGATTGTGTTGATTTKTTCTGGGGTCACATCAACCTTGGATGCAATGTCATTTTGATTTCTAATGTCTTTGCTTACCCTGCCGCAGTCTGGCTGGGCACAATTCGGGAGCCACTTGT